TGTTCATAAACAGCAAATACCACAAGCATTAAAAAAAAGATGAAGGACTAGATGTGGAAGTATTTATGCCGATATGGGAATGATGGTTGGAATTTTTTCCTTTAGCAACATATTTTCCATGCTGTATCTCAGAAAATCTCTTCTCTGGGCACTGGTTGTATACTTTCTGCCTAGAGGGCTTTCAAAATTAAGTAAAAACAAACCGAAAATGGCATCATTTCAAGGGTTTCTCCCCTCTGCAGTGTTTTGCTGTGAAGGAAAAGAAGGCAACAGTTTGTGTCTTGGCATGAAGCAGATGCCACTTCAAAGCTCCACTGCAAGAGTATATGCAGACAGGGAGCAGAAGGCAGTTTTAGGTCTTACTAGGTCAGAGAAAAATTGAAGATTGGAATTCTCTTGAGCTTCTTTTGGAAGAGCAAAACTAAAGACGGGAGAATACGCAGAATCTCACAGCACTTTGCGTCAGAGAATGGGTTTTAAGAGTGCCTGAGGTTTGTAGCTGCTGAATACCATTAAGCAGGCTCTTCTGAGGGGGATGGAGGGAAACTGCTTTTTGAGGTAAACTGTTCTCATGATTACTGTTTCTATTATTTGTATTGGGCTAAAAATACAAATGTTTGTGGGATCCCTTGGATGAGTAAGATTTACTCAAGTAAGTGATGGCTGCATACAGTGTGATAAGTTCACACACTCGCTGGCAGTTACACCTGAAGTCAAGGCAAGCTTTGCTTTTGACTGCAATCGGGGAAGAATTTTGACATGGGATTTTTTGAGTCTGCTGGAGCATGATGTCTGAGAGTGGAACCCGCCTCACCTCAGCCTTCCTCAGCAGGTGAGGACTGATGACCAATTACACTCACAGTCAGGACTGACTTGTTTGTGTAATCCAACTCAAGATGTACATATTTATAGATGGAGAAATTGTTATTTCAATTTTATTATCACTTAATGTTATAAACGATATGTTGATGTTAATGTTGAAATGTATATATTCACACTTCATCTATATCACAGACATATGTTAAGAGACATATATATTCACAGATGTCTATATACACACGTTATTATATACATATGTGACAGAAAAGATTTGTAGTAATAAGATCAACTGATCACTCAGCCTAAGGATGTCCACATGATGGTGGTACAACTAACATTTATCTTATGTTTGTTCTAACATAGTACTAGTCATGTACCCCTGAGTGAGGAATAGGTAATAACTTGTCAGAGATTGCAAAAACGATGATCAGCAGGATTATGGGAGGAGCAAATGGGTACTGTATTGTGGCAAGTTCTGCTAGAAGAAGAAGGAAGAGAAGAGAGGTAGGTCTGGAAGCCAAAGATAAGAATTTTAAACTTTTTGAAGTGAAGGAGAAAGACTGAGATGATGAAGTCATGACAGAGGTGGTGAGAGGAGGGAACATGCCAAGCGGGACAGCGGTGGAACCACCAAAGTACAGTCCTCTCCCTGTACTGAACTCAGGAGACTGCACAATTTCTGAGGTGACAAATAGTGATACCCATTACAGGTGGTTCAGGTAGATAACTGTTTCTACAGTTGTCTGTGTCGTTAGCTCAGCAGCAGATGGCCCATGCTCATAGTTTCACTTCTGTTGATCAGGTATTTTGAACCATAAGTAGGCAATTCAGCTAGAATTCCTATGCTTTGGGGTTTTTTGGGGTTTTTTGTTTGTTTTATTTATTTATCACAATTTTAATGTGGGAAATTACATCTGAAAAGGTACTTCAAATTAAACACTTAACAAATGTCAGCATGTTTGATAATATGACTTAATCCTTCTGTGCTGTAAGTTACCTATCTATACAGTCATGATAACACCTTTGCGTATCTCACATGGGCATCAACGAGAAAAACGTTGTTTGTGGTTCACTCAGTTGCTGGGGTGATGTTTGGGAAAACTAGGAGTTTTCTGTTCAAATGAAGGTTTAGGTTATTCCTCAAATGAGGTCTGGGCCCCAGCTTGAAAGGTAAGACTAAAAATTTAGGCAAAGAAACTGTTCATTGGATACAGTGCAGTCTGGATCCTAAACAAGGCAGGGATGGTTGAGGTAAAATATATAACAAGCAAGTAAAAGCTGTACCGTCTGCACACCCATCAACCTTCATTCAAACATTTCCTGACTTCTGAATGCTTGACTTTGTAACTCTCTTATTTTAAGAAAGTTTACTGAAACATAACAGTAGTCAAATGTGATTAAAGCTCACTGCAGTTGGTCTGTCATAATAAAAATACTTGTCTGTGTAAATGTGAAAGGTATTGTGTAGTCCAAAGTCTGTAATAAATGATAAATTATAATGATGAGTCCACCCTGGCTAAATAGCACCAGTATAGGTTGATAAGTAGACAGGCTGCTCATTCCTCTTACACAAGGGGACATATTTTTGGTCACTTTGATTTAAATTAAAATTCCTTTTTCTTTGCAGGAATTAAAATTATGATACTCATAGTGAATACTAGCATGATTTCTAATGTTCTTTCCATGGGCCAAATAATATTTTAAATAAATTATCATTTCAAGCTGAATTAACTGAGCTTAATCAGTTTAAATAAAAACACCACTCATGGCTAGCATTTTAGATGATGAAGGATTGGGGCTTAAGCTGCTTATCTGTTCATAAATTTTCTAATCTGTGAAATGGAGATAGTTATGTCTAAGGGATGTTATGAAACCTATGTAATGTTAATAAAATGCTTTGAGGTCTTCCAGTAAAAGTGTAAGGAGTTAATGTCTTTTAATGCCAATTGACATTTTCTGTGATAATTAATTCAATACAGTTGTTAATTCAGTGTTGTAGAACTGGAAAAATATCATCCTGACAACTAGAGAGACACATTGATGGGGGGTCTGATTCAATGTTTGTGAAACTGATGGAAGGAGCATCATTGTTTTCAAGTGGTATTGGATTAAGTCCCACAAATAAATATATGAGAGATCGTCTCATTTCACTGTCCTCAAGAAAACAGATGTAAAAAGGAAGCAGAGAGGAAAAACAGTAGGAAGTAAATTATACTTGTAAAGCTGAAATAATAATAAGAGAATATATGTGTTCACCTACATGAAAAACTCGTTGCAAGAATAGGGCACGCTCCTGTGCTTTGTTTGCCATGCCAGTAAATGTGACACACAGTTGCAAGACATATACCTTAAAAAGTAATAGGGAGAAATTGGAAGAGCTCCTGCATAATTTAGGATCGGGACCTAAGGCAGTCTAACCTGATCTGAGTTCAGGCTGCCACAGTCTGCCACGGAGGCTGGCTTACCCTGCGAGTCTGCAGCCATACTCACAGGTTCCTGTATATTGTCCAGTGCGATTTGAATGCTGTGAAGGTTTGACCTTTAACGGACAGATCCCACAGAGTACCGGAGTATATAAACACAGACTTAGTGCCAACTTACATGTTCTTGTGCCAGTACTGTTTGCATTCATGAGCCATCGATCTCACAGGCGTGGGTAGCTTGAGCTGGGCCGGTCAAAATAGTTACTGCCCACAGTTCTTCTGCCAGGAGTCAGTGCTTTTTTGGCAGGGAAGTGCATCCCACGTGGAGCATTAGCTGAATGCTCACACTTTGCGGTGTGAGAAGTAAACCTGGTGCTGTAAATTTGAGAAGTGCAAAACCTGCTTCATTTTTTGTTCAACCATCCCCTTCCCTGGCAGAGAAGGGGAGTGGGAAGCTGCGACCAGTGGTGCCTTCAGGCATCTGAGTTCAGCCAGCCTGGCTGCAAGTCAGTGGCCGGGGTTACCTGCTGCGGAGAGAGGGGTTTATCAGCTGCTACGTGTGGAACATAGATTTCTCAGAAGTGCTTAAACTGCCTCTCTCCATGTCTTCAGAGGAGCCGTCGCTTCACTGTATGGCTGTTCACTCCAGCTGGGCTGGTGCAAGTGGGATTGACAATGCTTCTTGCAGCATTTAATCTGCATACAGCAATTAGACTGGCCCTAGAGAGTAATTGGATTACCGGAGTGTTTGAATTAGTTGATGAGATAAACAGCCCTATCCCATAGCGTTAATAGGATGAAGTCTAGCATGGCTGAAGCTTTGCCACATGCCCTCAACTTGAGCTCCAAACATCACTTGGGTTTTGATGTCCATGTGTAAACAGAATTAGGATGGGAGATTAACTTTTCCTAACAGTGAAGACAGGATTTTACAAGTGATACTCCCATTTTATGGGCTGTGCACCATGGTTCCACGGATCATTACAATGGCCTCCCAGATCACTGACCAAAACTGTATTGGTTTGGCAGTAGGGTGCAGTGGGGAGTTATTCTATTTTGCCATCTGTAAATGCTTTTCCCTATAAAACTATTTAGCATTTTTCCCATGGGAGATGAAGCATTTTAATTATTATGTTTATGTCACAGTCTTTTTTTGTATGTTGTATGCTGCTTTTTTTTAACTTAAAAACCAGGATGCTGCTTTTTTTTTTTTTATGAAAGCCAACCAGCCTGGATGAGGATGTTATTCCTTTTTAGAAGAAAACTTTCTAGCTTCTGTTTAAAGTTATTTTTTTCTTTTAAAGGAGTTTGCATGTCATCAAGGCTACCCTGTGAGTTGCTTGCTCTGAGCAGGATTTGTCTCTCCCAAATCAAAACATCTACAAAGCAGGTGGACGTATCTCCAGCTGAGCTAGTCACCCCAGTCAGTGGTAAAGAGGTGCTTTTACGTATTACATGCCTATGCTAGGATGAGTTCAGTTTCACTCTGGAAGCACCTTTTTCCATTGACTGTAAAGGAAGCCTCACAGAGGCTCACCCAGCGGAAGGCATTGGGTCAGATGAATCCCCCCTTCTGTGCCTGAAACTGTGGGAGAATATTTTCAGAGAACATCCATGGAAACCCAGACCAATTCTCCTGCAGAATCAAAGGAAACAAGATTTCTCAGGGTTTCTTTAAAATAAAAATCTTGTTCTACATTTTTTGCAGGCATCAGCAGTATGAGAATAAATCTATTCTTAACTGTGCTTTTTCTTTAGTGTTGGAAAGGAAGATTTCGACAAGACAAAGCAGAGAGGAGCTGATAAGAAGGGGAGTGCTGAAGGAAATGCCTGAGCAAGGTGATAACACATTACCTAGAATTTAGCTCCTAAGTGCTAAACATGGGTGATAAAGGCACTATTGCATTGTTTCCATGTAGAATAAATAGGTATAAGGAGACAAAGCTGAGGAGTGTGAGAAGTAATTTGGGCCAGTTGACAAAAAAATAAAGTTGGAGTTGAGAGATTTGTGTTCTATAACTGCTCCTACCGTAGGTACACCACCTGACTTCTGGCCATACCCTTAAGTATTTTGGTGCTCCCTGTAAGTAGTGTGACTCCTCTGGTTCCTACTTACTGCTTGACAAAATTTTTTTAAGTTAGTGATTAACCTTTTTTTTTGAAGCAACTGGAGTATAATATGAGAAAAGTTGGCTGAAAAATTAGAGGCTTTGGGACCCCCCCTCCATCCCCCCCCAACAAATCGATAACATCCATTTCAGGTATGAAAAAGTACCAGTGCTTGGGATCATACAGATCACCACTGTCACACAGACCACGTTCATAAATGGCACAAACATAAAACTGTGGGGAAGACACCACTTGTTTCCAAATGCTGTAGGGTTTAGTAACTGATATTAACCAGAATTTCTGTTTCAAAAAGCATGAGTAAACCATGGTTAACACCACTGACTGTTTCTAGTTGGTATTCTTTCTAATATTCTTGATCTTCTATATATCTAGATCAAATAAGAGTCCAGTGAGTAAAATAATTTTCTGTAGCTTAAAATTAAACCATTCATCATTTTGTCAAGGCGTCTAAGAACTCCATGATTTCCAAAAATATTTTTCTCCTAGCTATTGTGTTACTTTGCCTGAGCTGAAGAATCAGGAAAACATCAATGTGTACGGTTAGTATCGTACCCATTGATACTTAGAAGTAAAGGGCTTGTTTGTTGACATGTGACATCACTTGTCTTTACAATGCTTTGCTAATTACCAGGCTATGGCATTCAGCATAGCTGGCTTCTGAACTTGTCTCTGCCACTGTCTTTGACTTAAAACAAGAAATGCAAACTGTCTATACCTCAAATTGTCCTCTGTGAATTTGTTATGTTTTTTTGCTACATGCTTTACTGGGGAGCTACGTGACTTTGTCCATTGATGGTTGTAAATTGCATTTAAACTGCTGGGACAGTTAATGAAATGTGTTAACATTTCAGATTGGTTACAAACAGTCTGAATATAAATACTATCATTTGTGCTAAAAGTGTCTGTGCTTTGGTCATCAGTGTCCTTGACCCTCTATTCCACTTTTAAAAGGGGATGGGACTTTGAATCCTTTACAGAGATTGAGCAAAGCGAGAAAAGGATGTAAAGATGAACAATTTTCTCCCCTTCCTTCCGTCTTAAGAAGGCCATCAGTCTGGTCCATGTTGCCTTCATCATGTTGTGCTTCCTGTCTGATGAAAATTACAGTTTTTAAGGAGCAGTTTGAAAGAATACAGGATCGGTTTGAAGGTGCTAAAAAAGAGATACAGAAAAGACAGTGGTTAAGCAGTGTGAAGGTAGTTAGAAGGAATGACTATGGAGATGAAAGCGAGATGGGGAAATTACATGGAGTCTTGAAATCTGAAAGGTAAGAAAGGTGAAGAAGTGACTGTCTCACATGGGATGGAGAATAAAGAAGTGGCAAGTGCCACTTGGAAGCAGGAGGTGTTTGCAGAACCGTGGCATGGATAAGAGGTGGGAATGCCACATGTGGAGGTAGAGAGGAAAGAGCGGATTTATGAACACCTGGAAGAAAGGAGCTGAAAAAACTGAATGTTGCAGTAAGGTAAGAAGGAAGCCTTGTGCAACTGTCAGCTATAGTGAACGAGACAAAGTTAAGAAGGCAACTTAGTTGAACACTACATCAAGTTGAAGTCAGTGTGTGGGTGAGAATGAAACCATCAGCTTAACCCATGGAGCAGCCCAAAGTGGTAAGAGAGAGGCTGCATAATTGTGTTGAAAGCAGGGAACTGCCAAACATCCAGGTCTGATAGCACACAGAAAGGAAGAGGAGGAGAAGGGGAGAGTGGAATTACCACAATTAATGAAGAAACACCAGAGGAAGCAGAAGAGATGCCAGGTGGATTTGCATAATTTTTGGATGGACAGCAAGAGAATCCTGTAGAAGGAAAGCAATCATCTACATGAACTGCACATGGGGTGTGAGCAATGTAAGGATAACAAGCCTTAGAAATTACCAGAGAAGAAAATCAGCATGAAAAAATGCATGAAACAGAGAACAGAAATCAGTAAATAAGGGAAGAGCTAAAGCTGTAAGCCAGCAAGAGTATGTAGCATTTTTCAGGAATATAGAGACAAATACGGAAGAGAAAGAAGTTTTTTTAAGTATTAAAAAAGAACTTGTAGCTGAGATACTTTGGGTGAGTAAAATATCATCAGAGCTGGGAAAGAATTTGACTTGCAGAATTCAATAATGGTATGATACATGATACAGGAGGATCTCACCTTGGTTTTTAAGACTGGATGATGACTTTGTGACCTTTTTTATTCATTAACTGGGCACACATATTCTGAGAACTTCTGTCTCAGTTCCTGGCTGATTTACCTACTGGGATGCACACAGTAGTCCTGCAGCTCTGCCCCCTAATTGTTCAGACTTGGCACCTGTTGGAACACATTGCAGCTCCACTGTGGTCCATGCACACCTTTCTTTGCTGTGTAAACCAAGACGCAGGGAGGAAGAGAACGAGATGCTAATGTGTACAGACACGAAGCTGGACCTGAAAACCCACATGACCTTCCAGGCCCACTACTGCAGAGGTGTCCACCCAAAGAACATGGAAGCCTGTAGAGTTCCTTTACAGCGTTAACTTTTCAGAGCAGATCTGCGGCCTGATGTTTCACATTTCAGTAAGTCTTTCTGCTTTGCTTCCATGGAAACTTGAAAACAGAGGGATGCTGTGTGTTGTCAATTGGTGCTAAGGAAGCAGTTAAACTCAACAACAGCTTTTTAATTTTCATTTCAGATGGTGATGTAACAGTAAGTTTTGAAACTTCAAATGGACACACCATAGCCATTGGTGAAGAAACCATACAGGAAGAAAATGTGGTAAAAGCTAGTGGAGATAATGATACTTTATCAGAGAAAGCATCAGCATTGGAAGGAAAAAAAGAAGATCAAAAAGGTAAACAAACACATACTTCACAAAACGTTTTTCGCCTGCTTAATACATTAACATGTTCTTCCATTAGCACCAATACATGCTGTGAGTTCTGTTCTGCCACAAGGTTACCAGCAGAACCTGCCGAGAAGGTAAGACTTACGAAACATCAGTATCTTGTCACTGGTAGGCATGCCTTTTACTGTGGATATGATCAGGTCATAAAGAGAAGCATGGTCCTAGCATGAAAACGTGTGCAGGGATATTTGATTTCTAAATTCAGTGTGAGCCTTTCCTTGTAGCCATGGGCAAGCTTTGGTTTCAGGTTTTCCTTTTGTGAAAGAAGACACTAAGTGTATATGCATCACCTTGCAATATTGTTGTAGAAGTGGCTCATGGGTTGAAAGTTCAAAAGTGTTTAAGCCACTTAAAAACCATTGTTTCATGTATCATTTTGAAAGTAACTTCAGCAACTTAATGCTATTGGTTTTCATTGAATCTTAAACACTAGGCAGTGCAGCTCTTCAGAAATATTCAAGGGGCTATATCAATACTGCAAAGTGAACCTAGGTCATTTATGGAAAATGTACTTTATGACTGTAGGGTTTTCTGTAGATGAATTGCAGTAAATACTGCTAAATATTTAGCAGTCCCAAAGTCCATATTAATTTTGTTACCTTTACTCAGATCTAGCTTGGTAATAAAAGTTTCACCGAGTAAGAAAAAAGTAAAGATTAATGTGAAATGACAGGATTTGGACCAGTTTTATTTTCTTTCTCTAGCCTCTTGAATAATACACCACTTCTTTTCCCTGTAAAAATGTGTTCTTAAATACTATTGCATTTATTGGATTTTCCTAGAGGAAAGAGCAAGGATACAAAAGATCAGGAACTTCACAGTTGGCTGTTAGACTGAGCAGCCTTTCCAGTGTCTTCTAGTAACCTCTACCTAGTGATAAATGAGCCTCTAGAGGTTGAGAGGGTCAGTTTGGCTAACACAAAAATTTGAATTCTTCTCTGAGCTATGTAAATTACTTGACTATGTAAAAAGTGGCTGGATGTCCAAGGAGAACCACTTTTCTTATGAGATTTCTAGTACTTCCTGTCTCCCAGCAAGATAGAAATACAAGATTAGCCTTTTTCATGCAATTTAAATACATCTATCTTTTGGTGCCAACTAGAATCAGATGTGTATTGGGTCAGAGGAAAAGAGTTATAAAAGACATGGAAAACTCCTTTAAAATGGTTCAGGTTAACTTTAGGGTGAGATCAGACCGCTTACTAGTTTATGCATCCCTAAATACAGCCTTTTGGAAATGTCAGGTCTTCGAATTTTTCCTAAGGTGCAGGGATTTTTATAACTACACATTTCTAACTATGTTGGAATCCCCTCTAGCTGACTTTGCAGAATGTAGAACTCCAGTGAAGCAGGAAAGGTTCGATATCTATTTCAAACACATTATTACACTCTGCACTCCCTATATATTGTGATGACCTTACAAGGAGAAATTAAAAATTACTGCTGTACAGGAGTAGACTCGGTACAGAAGAATATATAGCTATCACTCCAGTCCCTCTCAGAAAGTGAAGTCTATTCGGAGGAGGGAGAAGGAAAACAGAAAGTGAGCAAACTTGGTACTCTATGCTTCATAGAATGTCAATATGATCCATCGAAGATGCAAAACACTTCAAAGTATACCTTCCTCTTACATCTAAACATGAAGTTATTCTACGCATAAGCATCTTGAGTCCCCTGAAAAGGAACAAGATAGATGTAATACAGAGGAATAGTCTGCCCCAAAAAGGTGTTAATAATCAGTTCCACACATCAGCAATGGTGTTACACAGTGCAAATCCAGTACAACTCACTGGATAGTCGTTGTGAATACACTTCAGTTACTCTTTACTTTATAGCACATTAAACAAGAAGGTGAGCCAGTCTTTTGAACTCAGTGGAAGAGTAAGGCCCACTGCATCTCACAGATGCATCTCACCTGACAGATTAATCCTCAGTAATTTTTTTATGGCAGATGCCATAGGTATGCATTACACCCACACCCACTGTCTGAGTGAGGAATTGTCAACTGCAGCGCAAAGATTTGCTAATGCTCACAGAGCATCAAAATCAGAGCTGAAGCAGACATACCTAGCTCACTGTCTTCTGCTCAGACCATAAAACATGCTGGTGTATCAGATCACAACCCTTCATCATGAGAACTGAGGCAGGTGGAGTGAATACTAGCTGGACAGTCAGGGAAAAGAATTCATCTTTAGTGAGGCTAATGTTAGGTTTTTGAGAGTCATGAACTCTTATGTATAAATATAAATTATGTGTTAAATAAGTTATATACACTTTCCATGTTTACAAGACCTGAAGGCAGGATTAATTACTGCTGTTTAGTAGCACAGTGTGCTGCAGTTCCAACTCCAGCTGAATCAAAAAGTTCCAAAAAATGCATCTCGGCCCCTGAAAGTTGTGAGGTTATTTTAAAATGCTTCCTTGAAAGGGTGGTGGTCTTTACTCACTCTCTGGTTCAGGTGGGTCTTGAAAATGGCCTTCTCGTATAAATAGGATGATGACTGGAAGCTGAAAAAGAACAAGCGATGCAGTCACATTGTGATGATATGGTGAGAGTTGGCAGCAACTCAACAAAGGTAGAATGTGGAATGTGTTAGGAGTTAAAAGAAGTTAAAGGAAAAAAGTTGTTTCAGCATCAGCCACAGAAGTACAGTATCAACAAGGGCAAACAATAGGCTCAGCCGTTGCTCACACAATGTAAAAATGAGTGTAGCAGAAATGAGTGAAGAAGACAACCCCTGAAAGCTGTTCCCGGTGCTGCTGGGCAGTTCCATAAACCATATGCCCATCTGCTGCCTGTCAGCTCACAGATGCATTTGTATGTGGTAAAAAAATTCCCTTTGGCAATTTAATAGTGTAAGTGTTACTGTTTGTAGTAATGATGAAATGTCCGTCATCTAAGCAGGTGTTTGAAAGGAAATTTCTTCTTTATGGCACGATAATAAGCTGGTGACAGTTTTACATAAAACAGGTAATTTATGGATAAAGCTTTGCAGATGAGAAATCTTTTTCCTACATCATTTATTCACATTATATTTGTACTGGGTTGACTTCTGAATTCTTCTGTTTTGTTTTGTTTTGTTTTGACTAAGAAAAGTCGCTAGCATCTTTTGCAGAAAATAAAGAGCTAAGCCATAGCCATTGTCTGTGAGCGCCCTGGGAGGGATACAGAGCAGCAAGCAGACAGGCAGCATGTCAAAGTACACCCTTGGTGTCTGGGCAGCAGACCAGACTGTACCGTCGTGACAGGGCTCCTGGCCTGTGGCGCTTGTCTGCAGTAGCCCTGGCAGACCCCAGTGTTCCAGGCTCCAGGTGGGCTATGAGGATTGCAAAGGGGATCCAAGGAGTCTCCCTGCCTCCTGCCCCCTACAGCAATGTTGGAGAAGACCAAAAGCCATATCAGTAGAATAGGTGTCAAAATAATTGTTGCTGTTTGCCTCCCTAGGTATAGAGACATAGCATGCTGATGCAGCATGTGTGCTGCACATTGTAAAACCTCCTGGTGCTGTATCAGAGCTGCTTCTCTCCTTTCCACCCTCCCAGGATGTCTCTGACACACAGATGTACCAAAGAACCCTGAATTTGTATCTGAGTTCAGTTTGTAAACTTAGGTCTTACTAATTTTTATCATAGCAAGCTGAATCTTTTCATTATTCTGGTAGATACTTCCACATTTCATTGTTAGCTTGGGCTTGAAGAAGTGAAAGGCTCAGTAACCATTAGCAAGATACTGCCTGGAAAAAAATAATAACAAGTTTCATTTTGCGTACCATCAGTCAGGCATGTGAGATGCTGCTCTGATAAATAATTGCATTGCAGGAAGCCAGAGCTCTATTGCGAGTGCTGTGGGTGTTGTGGGTGACATGGAGCATAAGCTTCTGAAATGTTCCTATGCATTTATAGCAGACTGATCCTCTCAGGTTTTCGCATGTCCTTCAGTGAAGGTAATAATTTGTAGTCCCGTTTCCAAATTAATTCATAGGATACATGCACATAATGTTTTTTCTCCCCAGGATAACTCTCATCTGAGAGCTGGCAAAGGTTCCAGGTCGTAGTATGTTGGGTTCAGAGGTTCCTTCCTCTGTACTATGTCTGCTCTCCCTTAAATCTGCCATTAAATTTCATCTTTTCTTTGTCTCATGGGTAACCAAAAAGAAAGTTGGAGGCACAAGCTCTGGTCTTACGAGCATGCATCATTGCTGACCAACACTTTAGTTTGTCTACCAAGGAATGTTCTTCATAGTCAAATTTTCTAGGTTCCTTTTCTCAGAGGCCTTTGCTTTATTTCCCCAAAGTGGAACAAAACCTGTTGAATATAAGATAGTAACCCTCATCTTCCAGGGTCTCAGACAAGAGGCTGCTTTCTCTCAGAAGGCTAATCCTGCAAACCACTCACTGTGAGAGACAAGGCAGACTTTTTTCCCTCTTGTGTGCCTAGCTGGCTTCCTACACTCCTGAGCTCTGTAGATCATCAATATAAGCACCATACATAAAAGTTTGGGGTTTTTTTTTGTTTGGTTTTTTTTTTTTTTGCCTGACTCCCAAGAATCTCTCACTCCAGCTGAGTTATTTGCTGGCTAAAACCAGCAAATAACTTCTAAGAATAGTATATCTTCGATTCATCACCTGAACTATGTAAATGAGGCTGAATCCAAATCTTCTTAAAAGGAAGATTACTGTAGATAAAGCTGTATTTGGGCACAGCCTGTCCACTAAATCAGCCAGGCTGGCTCGTACCAGTAGGTTGACGTGAGAAGCATGGGCTTTCACCCACAAAAGTTGAGTGGCAGAGGAAAGCTCCTGATTTGTAAAGCTGCTATTTTTTTTTCTCTTTTATAGGAAAGATATCCTAATGTGGCTCCAGAAATAGATGTGATTTTAATGAACTAACCATTGAATTATTTGAGCATATCTATACAGAAAGTATAAGGGAATGTAGAAGCCTA